GCTGCACGGAGTCCATTTCAGCCCTTCTTGTGTCCCTCCAGGAAGACTTTTTCTCGCTTGCAAAACATAAAGAGGCAGGATTTCAGAGCGGAATGCGGAAAAGTGGCCTTGCTTTGTGCTTCAGTGCAGGGAGAGAAACCGCTGGTATCCAAAGGCCCCCCAGGTGTGCGAGGGACAATCCCAGTTCTCAAGGCTCCATCACCCCCTCTGTGCAAAACGACCAGGCAAAAATACTTCTACTTCCAAACTTCCCTCCGTGGCTCATCCCAGCCAGTCCAGGTCATCGTCGTCTTCGTCATCAGCGAAGAGCGGGGTCGGGGGAGGACGCCCCTTAAAGCTCTGGAGGACCAAGGAAGACAAGGGCGAGGTTGGAACCACTTCCCAGAGGGGCCCACAACCCCACAAACCAGCGTACAGGCAATTCTTGGCTTCAAAAGCTATCCTTTAGTGGCTTTCCCGAGTTACGACAGCGCTGGGGGAAAAAGTGAACTTATGACCGTTTTTTTCACACTGACGGCCATGGCAGCCTCTCCGTGGTCACGGGATCAAAATTTGGACGCTGTCATGCCCCTGTCGGAGTCTGAATCCGAGGAGGAAGACGAACAGCCGACAGGGAGTGGGAGTGTGGCTCCGTTGGCTGTGGAGGAAACTGAGGAAGGGCAAAGTCCGGCTGGGCAGAGCAGGGGAGAGGGAGAACAAGGGAGAGGGGGCTCAGAGGAAGACCCAGGCCCACCCTCTCTTCATCCTAGGGCACGCAGGGAGGAAAGGAGAAGGAAGCAACGTGGGTTGGGTGGCTTATGGGGGAGGAAAGGGCCCTGATTCCCTTCATTAGCTGCAGCTGGGAACACTTGTATAAAAAAAGGATCAAGGAGCTTAGCCAGAGTTTCTTGGTCCTCTGCTTTCCTCGGCTGGCTTTCTCTAACATTTCCTTCTCTAGTTTCTTTTCCACAATCAAATGGACTTGAAAAAGAACCTGCCTGAACAAATTTTTTTCTATAAGATTAGCACAGTCTACATTCTGGGAAGAAACCATGATTGAGGCCCTCAAACCAACTAGGTGTCAAATCCTAACTTGCACCCCCAATTGCTGGACCAAGAGTCCCAATAAGGGGTTTTTTTTTTTGAGGGAGGGGGTTGAATATACAGTCATGCAGCCCCGCCCCCCCAGGCCTCACCAGTTCTTCATCATCCTCTTCCTCTTCCAATGGACCTGCTGATGAAGGCAGCTTACAGTTGGTTGCTTTGAACAAATTGGCTTCATCCTCAGGAGTGCTGCCAAGAAATGAATGAACAAACAAACTTGACAACTACCCCCCAGAGCTGCGTGTAATTGTGTGGCTGAAAAGTGCTGGCGTCCCAGTATCCCTTTTGGAAAATCCTTACAGAGGCTTATTTAGCGAAGCAAAGCCTCCAACTCTCTTCCCACAGCGAGAAACAAAAACCCTAACTAGGGATGGACATGTTCTCGCTTTGAAGAGCCACCCAACGTTGTCTCCTTCGGCTCCCAGGTTGGAGATCTTGGGGTGCCTCCTACAGCCAACCCTCAACTGACTTGGGGTGATGTGAGAACTTAGCTGAAATAGAGAAGAGGCAGGAAGCTCCTCTTCGATTGGTACTGACCTGGAATCCTCTTTTGGAGGGGTGGATGCTGGTGGTGGCATCTCCCTAGCTTGGACTTTCTCCTCGGTTGCACCGGATGGAAGGCTCAAGGAGGTTGGATCCCGGTCAGGAACATCTGGGCAAGTGTCCTCTTCTCTTTCTGGCTCCAGTGTAGGCACAGCTTCCTCAACGGCTGGCTTCAAGGGAACAGGATCTGTGGCTGTGTCCTCTTCAGCACCACCAACCTCTAAAGCAGGAGGTTCCGTTGGTCCAGAAGACACAACCTCCTCCTTCTTCTCCACCTCTGGAGATTTGGGGACTGGATTGGAGGGTGCCGGGGTCAACTCAGCAGGGGTGCCCGGATGCTGGGCCTCCTGTTCCGGCTTGCTTTGGCTTCCTTCTGAAGAGAGTACAGAACTGTTGGGGTCTTCTTCTACGTGGTCTGAGGGTACAGGAGATGCCACTGCTGGCGTCTCATCAGGACTGGCTGGCTGATCTCGGACCACCGGGCTGCCTCTCTGCTGCGGTCCCTGCTCTTCGTGACTGCGCTCTTCAGACCTTTCCAGCAGCTGCAGAGTTATCGTCTGGCGACAGGGAGAAAGGAAGGGAAAAGGGGAGTTTCCACCTCGAGCGCCTCAATTACCCTGTTTCCCCAAAAAATACGACCTACCCTGAAAGTAAGTCCTAGCTTGATCTTTTTTAACATGTGCACCCAATATAAGCGCTACCCCCTTCCCCAAAATAAGCCCTAATTAAGATCCCATCCACTCAAGAGTGGACGGGTAAAAATTAAGCTAGGGTAGGGAGGGGTGGGGTAAATAGTAGCTGCCCTACTATTTACCTTTGGACATTTGTAGCCAGGACTCGCACCCCGCGACACCTGCCTCACCAGCCCGTTTCTTCTGCAGCCCTGAAGGCCTCTGGAGCTGAGAACAAAGCTCTGGATCGATCCAAAGCTCCATTATTGGCCGCAGAGGCCTTCAGGAAAGCCTTGCCAGCCGCCGAAGAAATTCCTGAAGGCCTCTGACAGTGAAAAGGAGGCCAGGAGCGATGCACGCAAGTGAGGTTATTCAGTGGATGACATCCCCCGAAAATAAAACCTATATACTTCATATATTTATGAATGACAGGGTCTTATTTTCAGGGAAACATGGTAGAAAACTGCAGAATGAGACCTGCAGTAAGAGAAGAAGAACGAGCAGATCAGCTGAACGACTTGGACCTGAAAGCTACCTTGATAGTGCTCATGACCACACCCAGAACGATCCTTCCAGTGTAGGACTCCTCAAACTCAAATTGACCTCGGAGGGAGTGGAAGACTCCATTCATGATCTTTTTCACCTGGCAACGGAAAAAGGATTGAGAAGTGTTACCCGAGAAAGCATCCCGCAAAGACCAACCAATCAAGGGAGTATTGTGGCCCGTCAGACTCAGACCATGAGGAGGTTGGGGAGGAACTTGGGCCAGTCCTGGAGTCTGGGGAAGGCTGTGATGGATGCTCTGGGTCGGAAGCAGAGATGGGGCCAGGGCCACCCGACATTTCCCAGCTGCCTTTGAAGTTGGAGATAAGTGGGGAGGAGGAACTGCTGGAGCCTGTTCCAGATGCGCGTATGTGCAGAGCTGTCAGGAGGGGAGAACAACTAAGGAACAGGGGCCAACTCGGAAAGAAAGGCCCATGTGGACACTGAATGGCTACTCCCTGGGGAATAAATAGAAGCAAAAGGAGAGTGGTGGTTGCAGGAGGCAATAGTTCATATTTCTTTAGGAAGTTTTGCTTATCAGCTAAGTGCCACGTCCAGCGAGTGGTGTCACACACACCCAGTCGGCCACGCCCACCCAGGTCATTTTTTTGGTCTTTTTTTAAAAGATCCTATTTAATAAGATATTTCCCTGGAGGGGTGGATGTACCTCTTCGCCTGAAGTTGTCGGTGAGGTCCTATGGATGCTCTTCGTCAGCTCTTGGATCCGGCCTTCGTAATGGGCGGTGAGATCTCCCAGTTGGGACTGCAAGGCTGCACACTGGCGTGGCGTTTAGAGAAACGAGACATGTCGACATGACAGAGGCAGGATTCCCACCTCCAGTCTCGCAGATTTTTTTTAAAAAAACAAATTATTTTCATTTCCAAAGTTAAAATGCAAAAGGAAAAGAAGGAACAAACTCACAACCATCCAACGCGACTAATAATAAACCAAGCAACACAAATAACAAACTAAATAACACAAATAATACAACTAAAAAAAAAAAAAGAAGTATACAAAAGAAATATCAACTATATCATTCACACTGGCTTTTAACATTAAAAGGCCCATCCTGGTTGAATGCTGAAAAACACACCCCAAATATTTGATGCGTTCCCCTCTGCTTACATAACAACTACTACTTTTTCAAGAGGCAACTGGACCTCCTTGTTTTTCCTTGAAAATGTTTCACTTCTCATATCCAAGAAGCTTCTTCAGCTCTGATAGGATCGTTAGGGACAGAATTCCTTGCCTACCGCAGCTAACCTTGCAAACTTTATAAGTGGGCCGACCGGAATACACAAATACAAACCTAGTAGGGAATGACGGCCAGAAATTCTTTTTTTTTTTTTTTTTACTGTGACTGACATTCAACCCCTGAAAACTTTGACCGGTGATTCAAAGAGACAAGGTTAAGTTTAAGAATCACATTCCTGCGCTGACCTTTTTAAAATTGCCGCTCGTTGTAAAAAAAAAAAAAAAAAATCCCAAGCGGTGACTTGACGCTTATAATTTCTGTGTTTGGGATAAAGGGTGAATCTCACCTTCCTTTTAACGGCCTCCAGTTCTTCTATTTGTTCCTGCGATTGGGTGGAGTTTTGGACCTCTGAGATCCTGCTGGCCTTGAGCTGAGAAATCTAGAAAGCAGAGACACAGGTTAACATTCGGACATGCGGAACCAGGTGGCTTCATTCGAAGCATCCAGGTGCGGCTTATAAAAGAGCCTTGTAATGTTTTACGGACCGGCTGTGTATTATGGGACAAGTTAAGCACCCGGCGGTCTATTTCACCGTCCTAGAAATAGAGGGGGCAGAGAGGGAGGAGGAGGAGGAGGAGTGGTGCAGTGGAGTGGCTCGGTGGCCCAGAGGTGGAACTCTTGCCTCACAATCCAGAGGCTGTGAGTTCAATCCCTGGTAAAGGCAGATATTTCTCTCTCTCTGGGCACACTGAGAATTATATCTGCTGAACAAAACTCTGCACAGGCGACAGGAAAGGCATCCGGCCAGTAAAACACACTGCTAGTTCCATTCAGTTGCCAGACTCCAACCCGCCAGGGATTATGGGGGTCATTAAATGAAGATAAGGAGGAGGGAAGGTGGCATATGCTGGCAATCTCTGACTTACGACCACAACTGGGACCCCCAAAAAAGGAGATATCACTTTTTTTCCAGTGCCACTGTTAACTTCTAACAGTTGCTAAAAAGGCTGTAAGTTGAGGCCTACACGTATTAGGGCTTTAGTTTAAAAAATAAAAAGTTGATTCCATAGACAAATTGGATTTATCTCAGGGCCTGCTCTGCTTTTTCTATCGCTTTGGATTTGGATCAGAAACCCAGCTATAAAGCATGTAGGGATAGAGAAATAGGGGCTAAATTTGGAGCAGGGAGGTAGATATTGAGCAAGGCAATAAGAAACAGACAGGTAGAGCCCTCCTGAGGAATGGGGTTTGAGGAAGTGGGGGGTGAAAAGAGAGACAGGCGGGGGCTACTGTTAGGCACTAAAAGTTTGTGTCTATACACAAGAATCTAATCAGCTCACAGTCAGCCCTAAACTGGATCTAGATAAAGAGAATTCAAGAGAGGTTGGACTTGGATCCTTTGTGGGAACGTCACGACTCCAGGATGATTCCTCTCTTGACTCCACCACCCGCTCTGCCTGTCCTTCCCTTACTGGTACCCACCTTCTCTTCCAGCTGGGAGATCATCTGCTGCTGGGCATCCCGTTGCTCACACACTTCCTGGAACTGGCGGGCATGTTGCTCCTTGGCTGAGCTCAGCAGGCGCTCGCACCTGGCTTCCCACTGGGACTCCAGCTCAGTCTGCAGAAGGGAAAGCTTCCCCAGGACAGTAGACAGGATTGACTTCCGGTCTTACACACTGGTATCCCTGCCCTTCCTGCTCCCGACACTCCATTAAAGGCCGTTGCAGTGACTTGGTTCCTTGCAAGATGGCCCCTCCACAAAGGAGGCTGAGCGGTTAGGGGACTTTCCCAGCACTATGGACGAGGTTTGGAGGGAAGGCCTATTTAGCCGCAGAGGTTTTAGAAAATTAACAAAAACCGGAAGCCCAGATAAGCAGGGATTGACACCCGACAAATAACAAGCTGAAAGCAAGATCCTAGTCAAGGAACTAATAAGGAGTCAATCAAGAAGAAAACAACACCCTCATCAAGGAAGCAACCCACACAACCATTAGCACTGGAAGAGCAAACTACTCTGTATAAACAGGGAACAGACACTGCACTTCCTCGTACTGATGGCACTACCTAGTTGGGTCATGAAGCGTCTGCAAGCAGCCAACCAAGTTCAGGGGGCAAATTCTCTCCTGCTTCTCACCTGCTCTGAAGCAACGTTGTTGGTCGATGCCCGTGACTTTTTCAGAAGCAGACGGAGCTGGTCCATCTCTTCCTGGTAAGACTTGCGAATCTCATCCGCCTCTTCTTCGGCCTGTTTTCTCTCAAGGAGAGATTTCTTCTTTCTTTCAGAAAGGTTCTGAAGGAGAGGAAGAAGGCAGAGCCGCTGAAAGCAGCCATGGGTGGAGGGGAAGAGACCGAGCAAAGTGGGAGGGCAAGGGGAGGAACTGCTCCTTCAAATTCTCCACCGGCAAACACGGATCCCTACTGACTGGGAAGGTGTACCATTACTAAATTTGCAGATGATACAATCGGGGTGGGACTCAGGGAGGGATGAGTCTGCCTACCACGATGAAGTGGACCACTTGCTTTCGTGGTGTGGAGACAATAACTTGGTCCTCAACACCAATAAGACCAAGGAGCTTATAGTGGAACAGATCAGACATCCGGCCCTTGCTTATCAATGGAGACCGAGTGGAGCAAGTGGCCGGTTTTAAGTTTCTGGGTGTTACCTTAAAAGAGGACCTGACCTGGGAGGCCCACATTGCAGCCCTGGTCAGAAGGGCCCAGCAGAGATTAGACTACCTGAAGCTTCTCAGGAAACAACTGAATGAAAAACTGCTGGTGACCTTCTACCGCTGCATCACAGAGAGTATCTTAACTTACTGCACCTCTGTATGGTTTGCCAAATTGCACAGGGGCAGATAGGAAAGCGCCCCAGAGGGTTAATGTCATTGCCCAGAAGATCATTGGTTGCTTTCTCCCCTCTTTGGAAGAGTTTTATAGCTCCCGCTGCCTTAAGAAAGTTCAAAACATCCTTAAAGATCCATCTCATCCTGGGCTCCATTTTTTTTTTTTTTTTTAATTATTACCATCTGGCAGCCGGTATAGGATAATAAAAACAAGGACAAATAGGATGAAAAACAGCTTCTATCCCAGGGCAGGAGCTCTACTGAATTCTGCTGCATAGTGCAATGTTAATGCAATATCAGGGGTTCTCAATTCAATTGCATAGAATGCGAAGGATGTCTGTTTGTGTTTATTTTCGTGGTCATGACATGCACTGAAGTTGGTGTTTGATTTTTGTTGTACGAGGTGCAATGACCATAAAGTAAACTAAACGGGCCCAATCTAGAATGCCAACGAGATCTCTAAGATCTTTCAGAGGTCCTCACTTTCTCCAGGTTCTCTTTCTCCACCCGGAGGTCAGCCAACTCTTCCTCCAGGGCAGCCAGCTTCCCATCCAGCTGCTTGCGGCTCTGCTTCTCCACCTGGAATTTATTCTTGGCCTTTTCAGACGACTCCTGGAGTTCTGCAAGAGTTGAGGGGAGAGGAACAAAGCACAGAGGTGGAAGCACACACAGCTTTGAGGCACCCCTCATGAGGTCTAAAGCAGTGATCCCCAACCTTTTCGACGCCGCGGCCCGGTACCGGCAACAGCTGGGCGCCGCCATCTTTTTTTGATGAAAAAGTGCTTCCGGTGACCTCACCGGAAGCACGTTTTCATCAAAAAAAGATGGCGGCGCC